GCTGAAGATCCTCGGAAAGAATTTCTACTGGAAACAAACAAGCAAGCAGATACGTAACAATATAAATTGCCTTAATTTTTCTTTATCTAACATAGGATATGCAGCTCTTAAATGTTTTACTTGTAGGGACATCCCATAAATGTTCAGTTTAACAGAAAATATTGCTTATTATAAACCAAAATCCTATCTATGTAGTCATTTTAAGCATAGAACAATCTTTCTGCAATGCATATATTAATCAAGTAAATTAAACATAGGTAGTGAGGTGTGCAAGTGAGTTGCATGAATACATTTAGTTCAGAAATAAACATTTCTGTTATTTCATAATAAAGCAGTTTCTGAGATTATCTAATTTACTAGATAGATTTAGCATGTGGGTTTATATCATCTTGAGGTGATAAGATTGCTATATATTTGTACAGTTTTGCTCATTTTGAATAAAAATTGTTTACCATGAATGACTGCAAACTGCAGTCTCAATCTATATTGTCATATTATGAGAGACTAGAAAGAATACTGTTTAAAAATTATCCACACCAAGCTTACTTTTGACACCTAAACTTTCTTTGAAAGATATTTTATATCATTGACTTGGTGGAACTGATGAGGAAGATACAGTACTGCTGAAGTGCTGTAGATGCACCAATATATATACACACACCATATATATTTCATCAAATAAATAATGACAAGTATAAGTGAGTGTCATCTGAGCATCTGATCTTAAACTTTATTTTGCAGTTTGTTCTAGAACACAACCCTGTGACATGTGTACTTTAGAAGTAGGTAAGAAATGCTAAGAATGGCAAACAATAAGCTCCATATTGCTTAAACATTTTTTTTAAGATAATATTGTTGCAAAATATTTTTCATAATTAAACCATATTATTATGAAGATTAGAATCTGTTTTTGGATGAAACACAGTATGTAGTTTGAAATTACTTTTAAAGATGTTTCCTGATCAAAAGAAGGTTAGTATTTTATATTAAGAATGCCACTAAATGTGACATTATTCAGTATATATTGCATGCTTTGTAGTTTACTTTGAAACCTTAAAAGCTGAAAACGTATCTTACTTTGACCAGCATCTTGGTGACATCCATTAAACATACTCATTAAATCGAAACAGCATTTCCAAAGTGAAACTTATTGATGACAAAATATGTCTGGTGTTGTTACTTTATAATAAACTAAAACAATCACAGAACATTTGCATTATAATAACATTCTGAAAATTAGGTACAGGTTTCTGAAAAAGCTGTGAAACTTTTAATTACAATAACACAAATCTTATGTAAAATATGTTGTATTTTAGTTTGTTAATATAACTAATAGTATTCTAGGAAGTCCTATACACATACATTGTGAAAGTTAAAAGTTGATTAGAAAGCTCCTGAAGATCACTATGGTGTTGTTTATAGAAATGAATAAAAACACTATAATCTGAGCACTTTTGAAAGGTGGACCTTTCTTCTTCAGGGGCAAATTGAAGAAGATAATTCCACCTTTCGAAAGTGCTCGGGTTATAGGGTTTTTATTCATTTCTATCAAACCTTGAACCTACGTGTTTTCTAACATCATGAATGGTGTTGTTTATATCACTGATTAGTTTTCTTGTCTGGATTTAGATGTGATGGTTCTGAATGACATCATAGAACAAGCAGCAGGAAATCAGAGTAATGCTAATGAAAGAGGTAAATATTTGAAGTGTCCCACAGTGCAAATCTTAACTGTAGCTGCCACTGGTGGTTCCTTGCCTGCTTTTTTTTTATCTGGCCTGGTTGTGCACTAGAATCCAGAGCAGTGTTTTGGGAATGTTAAATAACTACTTTTTTTCTTCCATAGAAGCAAGCTTGTTGACATACTTTTTGTATCAAGATGATACATGATTGCTCTAAAGGATGGACCTCCACCCATTTGAGAATGTAGATGATGGCTTAGCCATGCATGGTAGACAAACCTTATAGAAAGCATGGGTTGTTTATTTTAAATAATATAAATCTAAAGCTTTAAACAAATCTGGAGCATGGGCTTTTTTCACTCATTTAAATTGTTTCTTGAAATTACAATTAGAGTTGTATTTTATACTGTTTTCAAAGGAATAATTATTTATATTTATATACAGGATGTCAAAAAAATTACTTCTGTTTCATTTATGTTCTTTCTTACTTATATCTGAAATATATAGTGTATAGTGTTACCAAAACCATGACTATTTGAGAAAGATAAAGACCCTTAAAAATGTTAGTTATAACTCAGGAGAGTTATTTTTATGACACCCTGTATAGATAGATAAATCTGTGTTCAGACATTTAGAAAATATTGTATTTGAGATCATGGAAGGTTTCAACTGCGCCAGTAATTTCATCTCAAAAATGATAAATTATCTGTCCAAGTCATTACTAATATGAACATATCTTTCTTTTTATATGCATACAGATTATTAAAATATTCTATAAATCCGTTTCTAGCAAATATGATTAATATCTGTCATGTTGTCAGACTACCTAACATACTAATGGTTTTGGAAAAATAAATCTATGGAAATGAAGAACCTTTCAGATTCAAATGGAATTATACTTGCAATATAACAGAAGAAGAGCAAAGGTTATGTTTTTATAGTTATAGTGTGCATGAAATCATTAGTTTAGATTTTTTTTCTATACAGGCAAAAGTAATTCAATTTATTTTCCTCACTTGTTGTACTTCAATAAGTATGAGAAAAAGTTATTAGTTTTAAAATTGGTATCCTCAGTCAGATAAGAATAAAAATTTCTGCATGTAATGCATCTAATCAAAGTGTTAATTTGCTGGTGAGTGAGTTCTTCAGACAAAATTATAGATATGTTTTTTGTTGAGAAGCTACAGTTCAAACAACTTAAACAGAACAGTTGTGTGAGTTTTTCTCCTAGATAACAATTTTTAGCAGAAAACTGACAGATTTTTGATTTTGTTGAAAGAAGCCATTAAACTTTGGTATGTCAAAAATATTTGTTTGCTCTTAATTAACTCATAAAAACCTCAGTTGAAATTTTAAGTAGCATATAAATGTTTCTTTCCATGATCTCCCTCACTGAGTTGTTAGTGGGTTTGAAATAGAATCACTTAGTAAGTTTAATGGATTTGAATATTTGATATATATAAATATGTAAACAGGCTATGAAGTAGGTTAGTTTTTGTTTTTTCCAAACACCTCCTTTCTGTAACATTTTTAAAACTAGGGAAATCTAAACATAACTTTATTATATCATAACTGAAAATAGGTATACTTTTTTCTTAATGAATACAGAAATAAATTTCAATATCTTATGGCAGTATAAAATTGTGAGATGTACAGATAATTAAGTAGAAATTAAAAAAGAAATTATATTATTGTAGGAGGGTTTAGTAGTATTTTACAAATTTCAATGAACTATTTTGACAACTCAAGCTTTCTTTAAAAATAAACAAATAATTTTGAAATATAGAGAAATTAATTTTAGAATTATTTGCATGAATCTACTCAGAAATTCATTGGAATGCTTTGCAGAATTTTAGTTGTTTTTGAGACTGTTTAACAACATTTTCATATTAATTATGAATAATTCTTTATTTATTTTTACATGTATAATTACAAACTTAGTAAGAATTTAAATAAGTATACTATAGTCCTGCTGTTTATTCAGCTTAATTTTCTCAAGCTATTCTCAAAATATTATTTGGCCTCAAAATATGAAAGCTCAATTTGCTTCTTTTATTTTAAATTTTTGAATGTGTATAAAAATTAACTTACCTTATCTAATTGTTTCTGAAGACACTGTGTATATGATCCAACCCAAAGAAAAGTAACAAAATTGTTCCAAATAAAAACTAGGAGAATTAGTTTGTGCAACCTAAAGGGTAAAGATACAGCTTTGCATAGAGATTAACCAAATATGGTGGACTAATTAAAGAAATAGACAAGTGCTTATTCCAGTCATAAACCAGGTAGAAAATTTCATCCAGTTAGTGACTAGTTAGGCAACTATATCAATTCAAAACCCAGACAGACAACTTGAAGACCAGATAGAAAACTTGACCTAGTAAAACTACGGGAAGATATTTATGGTTCAGTGATATCCAGATAGACAATATTAAGCAATGACTAATCAAACATGCTTTCATATAACTGAAGGACAAGAAAATTATTAACCCTAATGAAAATTCAAATAGATTACACATACTTGACCCAGCTTAGAACCAGGCAGTGAGGAATCTAATGCAAAACATAGACATATAGCAAGGCTTAGTCAAATACAGACAGGCAGTTATGTCCAGACAAGTGAAAAGGCAGAGTACTTGTTTGTGGTCCAACTAAGAACTAGGCAGTTCACTTGGTTTAACACAAAAGTGAGGCATGTAGCTTGGTTCATTCATGTACCTGACAGACACAGCTCTAATAAAGGAAAAGGTAAAACTATACTTGTGCATGGTCCAGCTAAGAACTTGGCAGAAACTTTATAGAACTAAAGACTTATTAGAGTGCTTAATTCAATATATATACGTGGCTCACATTAGAATCTGATTGTCAGTACTCTAATTGAGAAAATAGACAAATAGCTAGGTCCAGTCAAGTTCGAGAAAGACAGATAGGTTCGACAAGTAACAGGCCAATTAGAATCTGATTGTCAGTGCTCTAATTGAAAAAATAGACAAATAGCTAGGTACATTCAAGAGAAAGACAGATAGGTCTGACAAGTAACAGGCCGATTACTCATGCTTTATCCAGCTAAGAACCATATGGCTAGCTTGGTCTAACCCAAAAACAAGATAAAGTACTTAATTAACCCTAAAACCCTGCAAAATACTTAATTTCACTAAGGACAATACATGCATCTTAATTCACCTGAAACTTAAGCAGACTACTTGGCACAATTGAAACGTAAATGACTATTTAATCCAGATTGAGAATATAGAGGACTACATGGTTTAATCAAAAACTCAGCAGACTTATGGGTATATTAGTAATCAGACAGATGCATAATCTGAAACATGTATAAATTAGGTAAACTACTTGGTATAACTGAAAACCTGGTGAACTACTTGCTTCAGACAAAGACTGGACAGATTATTTCATTCTACAAAGGACCAGGCATACAGCTTGTTCAATTTAAGAATCGGGAAGATAACTTGGTACAGTTTAAGAATTAGATACATTATATGATTCAATATAAGGATAAAAATGAAGCAGAATAGCTAACTCAGTCAAGTACTACACTGACAAACTATTCTAGTCATGAATCAGGGAGACATCACAGTTTAACCAAGGACAAGGCAGCAACTATTTCCAGCCAAGAATAAGGTGATCCCATTATCTAAGCAAGGAACATGCAGAAACCATGTCTAGACAAGGATCAAACATATATATATACACACATATACTAACCAAGGAACAGGCAGAAACCATGTCTAGACAAGGATCAAACATATATATATATATATTGTGTGAATTGTGATTACTGTTGGTGGATATTTATAGGTATAGGTAAGCAGGTGGTGGTATCTAGCTCGTGGGAGGCGTTAATTGGTGGAATGTTGTATTGTGGCTTGGGGGTTTCTCGCCAAGAAGCAGCAGTGTGCGTGCTGTTCCTGTCGATTGTTTGTTGATCATGGGAGTTTGCTGTAGGATTTTTATTGCAATAATGGATATAGTAATACCACATTCGACAAGACACTTCAACGATACCTGGACAGCCGCCAAAGAAACACCACTACCGACAACTCCACTGAACAACTCAAAATCTACTATAAAAACCAATTCTCCACTGCATACAAGACATACGAATGGATTCTAAAGGATATCGTTTACAAAAATACTACACCAAAG